CTTTCAGTGTAATTCTGCATTAATTACAAAGAGTTGAATGAAAGTTGTGTCCTTAGCCAAGTGAACATATCCTTTAAAGTATGGCAAGGCTTCATGTTCGTCATTTAATTTTAAATGTACTGGTGACCGTGTAAGAAGAAAAAACAGCTTCTCTCCCCCACCCCATTATCCTCAGATACTATCTGATACAAATGAAATATGGAGCTATTGCTAGGTGGTATCTACTAATCTACTGCTAGGAGGTAGTCCATTGTTTAGAGAGCTACTTGCCTGGAGTAGCCAGACCATCAGACTTGCATCTTTCTCACATCCACTCAAAAAACAATTCCAGTACGTTCACCAACAAATGGTGAGGGGAAAATGGAGTCTGTAAAATAACAAAATGATCCCCAAAAGGAGGACCATCTTGAAATAGCAAATACACATAGACCTCGCTTACTGACCATTCGAAGTTACGACTGTGCTGAAAAAATAACTTTATGATCAATGCCTGCATTTATGACCCTTGCAGCGTCCCTCAGTCACGTGATTGCTATTACCATCAGTACGTGTTGTCCTGTGCCTCACCTGTTGTTTTTCTTTTTCTTCCTCTTTGCACAGCGGGGAGATTGGAGAGGAAGTGGTTACAAGAGAGTAAGTGGGCACACAGTGTAGAATACACATAGAAAGCAATGTAGTGGCGCCAGCAGCCATGAGCATGCTACACAAACAGCCCAATGTATTCCCCATTGTGTGCCTGCTTACTTTCTTGTAATCCCTTCCTCTCCAGTCTCTCTGCTCTGTGGAAGAGGGGGGTCGAAGGACAAAAACAAGCAATTTCTGTAGGCAGTCTCTCCTCTGCATGAACCATTCCCCCCACCTTGCAGAATGATTGGAGAGGAAGGGATTACAAGAGAGTCAGCAGGTACACAATGGGTAATACAGTACACTGTTTGCATAGCATGCTCACGACTGCCGGCACCAGCTCATTGCTTTTGATGTGTATTCTCCATTGTGTGCCTGCTGACTCTCTTGTAATCCCTTCCTCTCCAATGAATGTAATACAAACAATTTCCTTCTTGCTAATTATCTCAGCACTGAGGTGAGCATTCCAAAGGGCGGGGGAGTAGGGAAAAGGAAAGCACAGTCACAGTCACATGGTTTCCCACTTAGCAACTGCTTAATTTAACGACAAAGCTGCCAGTCCCAATTGTGGTCGCTAAATGAGGACTACCTGTAAATAGATCAAGAGCAAGTTTCCAGAAAAACAAGGCTGTGGCATCATCAACTAGGCCTCTGAAGACTGCAAACTCTTGCTGACACGAATGGTGGGAAATCTCAGAAATACCAGTGGCAGATAGAGATATAATTTAAGTTATGGCATCTCTTCAGAATTTTGGTCTAGAAACCAATACTGTATGTCTATGCACTTTTCTCGGTGCTCTCATGGTCCCTGCCCCATTTGACTTTTCTTTTCCAGAAATATGTTTGTGCACACATCTGCACGAAGTTGATGTGCTACAAAGCACCAGCCTCCAGAATAACTTGTATTTCTAAGATTGTCTATAAAATCAAAGAATGGATGTTTCATCTTTCTGCTTTATTTGAAGTCTACTTACCAGCCCAGAAAGGACCACCAAGGTAAGTTTACTCCAGTAGAAGAGTAAACAGTGTCTTTCCAGACTAGAAGATTATGGAATTTAGTAATGGCCGTTACTAAAGAAAGTGTACTCCTAGCCTTGGAACAAAATACAAACATCCTCAGAATACATTAATATCCCTAGGCAAAGCAAAATATAATTGGTACTTCTGAAGAACGTGAGCAGATACCGTATGCAGTTGCTTGTATTTGTCTTTGCTTCCTCTCTCTAATTAATGGTAGGCTGGAGAAGCTGTTAGAATTTCTACTCTCTACCTCGGTTTCTACTCTCACTCCCTCGGTTTCATATTAATGAAATTCTTCTTCACATCTAATGATGTCATGGCATCTAGTCTCTCTGTGCATTTTTTTTAACAGATGACTGTTGCACCTGTCCTCTAGCTACAATCTGAAGCAGTATAAGCCAAACAGAAGATTTACCACCCCAGTAAAAATGTGGCCAAAATAAATTAGTGTTCTATTTAGATAAAGTAATAGGTACAGACCCATATGTTGCAGCCTGTGATGTGGGAGAAGCAGTAGAAGCTGGAGGTGGGGAGGGGGGAAAAGAATAATAATTTTTGTGCTTTTGACTGAACGTGCCCTGTTTATTGCTTGGCTGGGAACAGGCCCTGTTTGCATTCTCATCTGATATTGCAGGCTATTGTGCCGATGCATATGAGTGACAGAATCAAAATTCAGTGTTTTACATCCACAGACCTATCCATTTTGGCTCAGATATGGAAAAAGGAAAAGAACTGGCACAGATTTGCCTCATGTACCTAATATGTGTCCAGAACTCTGGGTATTGTTAAAGTATGATTATGAAGAGCCAGTATTCCTCTGGCGACACTCATAGAAATCAACACCAAAATGGATATACCAACAAATTGTGTGTTTGTTGAAAGAATGATTAAACATTGATTAGATAAAGCTGATCTGCAATTAGTCTGTCTTGGGTAGGCACTTTGGGACATGACTGTCAAATTGCCTCAAAACGCTC